CTAGGCAACCACTACTTTGTTTTCCGTCTCTAAATTTGCCTTTTCTAAACATTTTGTATGTGTGGAATCATACAATAGGTAGTATTTTCCATCTGACTTCTTTCACTTAGCATGTTTTGAGGCTCATTCGTGATGTAATATGTATTAGTAGTTTGTTCCTTTTTATTGCCTGATAGTATTCCATTATGAGGTTATGCCACACTTTGTTTATGCATTTAGCATTTATGCATTTAGCAGTTGATGGATGTTTGGACTGTTTCCAGCTTGGGATGTTATGAATAGAGCTGCTATGAACATTTGTAGATAGGTCTTTGTGTGGATACATATTTTCATTTCTCTTGTTTAGGTTCCTATATAGAGGACATTTTGGATCCTATGGTGAGTTTATATTTAACTTTAGGAAATTGGCAAATTGTTCCCCAAAGTGACTGCATCATCTTACAGTCCCACCAGCAATGTATGAGGGTTCCAGTTTCTCTTGTGTGTTCACCAACACTTAGGATTGTCTGTCTTTTTGATTTTGGCCATTCTAATGGCTATGTAGCTGTATCTCATTGTAGTTTGAATTTGTATTTTCCTAATGACATGATGTTTATAATCTTTTCATAAAGCACAGTGATCTTTTAGAAACACAGGGACAATTAATAGAGGTAAGAATTGAGGTGGGCTATAAGAAAGAGGAGAGCCTGCACTACATGATGTATATAGAGAGGGGGAGAGACAGATTTCAAAGATATGTATATCAGACTTAGAACAGGCAGCATTTAATAACTGCCTAAATATACTATGTGAAGCTGAGGGGGTAGGGCTTACGAACCCAAGATTTCAAACTTTGGCAGTTGGGCAGATTGTGCCGCTGTTAGCCAAAAAAAGTGAATTACAGGTGCATAAACAATTTTTGTGCTAGTAGGTGATGGCTTTTATATTGATACTGTTGTCTTGATGTACCACTGTCATAAATATTTAACAGAGCTGTTTGGTAGTTTGAAAGCATGTATCTAGTTCAAAAGAATATCTGGGCTGAGGTATAAATTTAGGGGAGTTAATATTGTGTAGATAACAGTTGAATTCATGGAAACAAATGGTGCGTCTGTTCCTAAATCACTGTATCTTCTGGGTTACTTTTGGCAACTGAAAATTTCTTAAACAATGAGAGAATTTAATATAATAAAAAGATCCAAGTTAAGATGGTTCTAAGATTAATGCATGTAGGCATAACAGTATCACCAAGGACCCAGGTTCTTTGCATCTTTTAATGCTGCTGCCATTCTTCATCTGTTGGGTTGTCCTTGCGGTCCTGTGATGGCTACCGCAGTTCTGGTTGGCACATTCAAACACGGAGTTGTATGTGAAAAAGGGAGTGGGGGGTTAGGATGTTTTCACCTGGGTGTCTTTTTTCATCAGCCAGGAAAACTTTTCCTAGAAGTTCCTATTCTCTTGTCTTACTGACCGGAATTGGATTAAATCCTTGTTGCCAAACTACCCACAGGCACGGGGAATAGAAATTGCCACAATTGATTTAGATCAGAGCTGTCTAGCCCAAGTATTAATAATCTTTTTCCGATATCTCATGGAAGAAGCCTTTTCCCCCTCTCCTTTTGGTTCTTTCCTGTTGTTCAGACTGGTTAGATTTTCTAGACAACTCAGTTTCAGATCACTGAGTTGTTCCTGTTCAGTACTTCAGATCAGCTAATATTTTTGCTGAAATCCTCCTCTGTCATTAACTGTACTAGATTCTAGGATACAGAAATGAATAAGAAACATACAGTTTGATTTAGAAATAAGCTTAAGCAAAAGAGTGCTGTGACAGAATTGTACACTTAAGTTTATTTGTATTAATGGATTTTATATGTTTGGTTTTATGAGAAAACTTATCTTGAGTTTCAAAATCAAGCTTATATTCAATTTATAAGTGAACTTTTGGAACTTTAGAATACAACCCATTCATGAGTTGACCTTCCCTTTCTGTGTTATGTGGTTACATGTTTTGTTATAGAAATATATGGTGAACTAGCCTAAATTACACTGTTCATTTGAGTTATTTAAAACTAAAACTGTATTATGTCTTTCTAGAGCATAATGTTTGAGTTTTCTAGTTAATGTACTGAAGGTTTTAACAGTAATACCTTTAGTTTAAGATCCCAACTGAAATGTTTGTAAAGTGTAGAATATTTTGTAATTTGATTTTTAAATAATGGTTATATAAATGCAGATGGAGGGTTTATAGCAGTGTCTGTATGGTATATGAGGTGCTTTTCATGGATGCTGAGAGGAAAGGAGAAATGAAGATAGGGAAGAGAGGATTTGGAGTGGTAGAAGAACAAAATGTGCAATCAGTGTTGCTGATTCTTCAGAATACTAGAATTCCACTACATTTTGATATATGGTACAAACTCTAAAGTAATCTTAAATTTCGTCTTAGACTGAGTATATTTATCAAAAGCATATTCACGCTATTCTTTCCTATAAAGCAAATCTTACACAGAAATCAATGGTGATATTCTAACACCTCAGAGTCCAAGATAACTAGTATAATATCCATAATCAATGTGTATCCCTGAAGGGCTCCATATGATTAGTGATCTTTAAAGTACATTGATGGTTTAAGATTTAACCATTTTAATAACTTTGAAAACCAAGAAGGATATGTACATTTTGATGGCAGAAAAAGATATTTTTAAAGAAAATGTGGGATTAGAATGATTTTTTACATTTGTTTGCAAATAGTTATTGAGGAAATTTTAATGTTAGCTCTGAATTATAAAATGTTAGAATATATTTAGAAAGGTTTGATTTTCATTTATTTCAACTCATTAGGAAGCTCTGATGTGTTTCTCTTTAATATGTTTCTACAACTAATAAGCTTGAAAATTTCAAACACAAAATCCTTGGTGAAAAAATTACTTTATTATTTAGTGTTTGGGTTTGAGTAGCATCCCTTGTAGTTGTTGAACACAAGTTTATAGTGCTAAAAGCCTGTGGTAAATTACCTAGTAAATTAAGTGGCTCCAGTTGTTTGCAACATTTTGCCTATGTAAATCCAAAGTAGATATTTATAGATTTGTGCTTGTAAGACTATAGCACTGTATTGTGAAGTTCCTAACCTTTATTCAGACAATTTTCAGTATGTATAATACAAAGTAGTTTGCAGACCTGCGCGTGCTTTCCTTTGATTGTCTTTTGTTTACCTCTGAGTAATGAAATCAAATCTTACTTGATTTTCCTCAGCCAGTCTTAAGTTTAATCTTTAGAAAAGGTTTTCTGAAGTTTTTGTTTTGTGAAGTGTTCGTACTTGTGAGAGAACAGAGAGAGACTGGATGATCTGGGGTCTTGGACTTTGAAAATGGGATATTTGAAAGTTCTTTTGGTTATATATTCTCATATTTTTTTAAAACTTCAGATTTAGCCTAAAGCTTAAAACTTGTTTTTTAACCAAGGAGAAACAATGTTGTGATAAATAGCGCTGTAATAAGCAATGCTTGGTAAGTGGCTTACATGTTAATTTTATTTATTATTTGATCCACTGGAAATATCTGGTAGAATTAGAATCAGGTCATATATTTTAAACAGAGATACTTTGATGGACTGTACTTTTTCAGGAATAGATTAATCTGAACTTTGTTTAATATTAATACAATGATTGCCTTCTCTCTTTCTCTCTCTCTTATACACTCCCTTAGGGATGAATGGAGTAGTTGGCAAAGGATGGCTTTGGAGAAAAATCTTTATGCCATTTCTAAAATGGAAATACAATGCCTTTTGTTTTTGATTCGTATAAGGGAAATTCTTTAAGATTATGAACATCTCAGAAAAACATTAAAAACCAAGTCTCCATTCCTTGCCCTCCCTCATTTCCCTGAGTGATAGTCTGAGAGTATTACAGTCATGGGCACTCTGAAAAATGTTAAGGGCTTGGTTAAGTGTGGGTAACTAGTGCATTGAGAAGACTGTTAAAGGCTCCTAAATGCAGACGAAGCATTACTAATTGCTTTCAGGGTCAGGCTGTCTTTAGTTGGACCATGAAAGATTTAGCATGGTCCCATGGCTGCCTGTCTGCCTAGCGTGGCTGCCTGTCTGCCTAGCGGAGACTCTTGTCTTTAAGAAAGACTACTATCTGATATGCTAGACCGGTTCAGGTTGCCCCGGTTTACATGAATTTAGTGATTATTGCCAAGATTACTAAACCTCAGTGAGACACAAATGATACTTCTAAATGGACTTGAAGACAAAGGCATTTGACCTTGCAGTGGGACATAAGTAATGTATGTACAGCTAGCTCATTTTAAAATACGAAACAGAATACTTTGCTATTTCAAGTTTCAGTTACAAGATAAATGCAATAAAATTATTTTTAAGATCCCTAAGTAAACAGCACACAGATCTTTAAATAAATTAAATGTTTTAATGTTTTCCATCTTTTAGATTTGTGAATATTTGCCCCTTAAATCGGTAGGATATTAATGGCGGTATTAGCATACAGTAGTTCAAACCTATCCCATGGACTTAGACCAACCAGTGCAATTAATTCTTTATCTTCACAAGTCCTAGTGTTCTAGGTAGAAGTTTGGCAGAAATTAAAACTGGTTATGAGGCTTTGTGATAAAAAGTGAAAAAAGAGATACTAGCTAGGTGGTCAAATATATTTTTGCCCAAGTGGGAATCTGAATATCACAGAATTGTAAATTTTAGTGCTGCTTCTACCTGTTTCTGTTTTTTCAAATTGAGATGAGATTTTTTTGTTTTCCCCCTCAAAGCTTTAAGCTAACATAGATTGTATATGTAAGTACTTTTTCTACAGAACTAACTAAAAACTTCTTTGGGCAGAGGCTGGGGAAAATGGCAAAGTGCTAGGTTTCTAAAAAACTGTAGAACTTTTCATTGACTTTACTTTGAAAATGTATAGTTTGACACATGAAACATTTTTAGCATTGCTTCTACATGTGTTATTCTGAAAAACAAAAGTTCTTCCGGTCTTAAATAAGTTCTTTTTTTCTAAACAGATTTATGAAAATATGCATCAGTTTAATACTGTCTTGGAATTCATGAGATGGAAGCATAGGTCAAAGCTGTTTGGAGAAAATTGGAAACACAGTTTTATCTAGCTGCATTCCGAGGTAAGGAAAAGACTTTTCCTTTTAATAAAATAATTAATATGAAAATTCTCATTTCTTAACAATTGAAAATTATCATCACTGCAACATTATTTCAGCTTCTTTAGATTCTTTATAACACCACAACTTTATATTAGTTTCTTTAATCACCTTCCTCACAAGTTCGTAAGTAATTCTAATATATTTTCTTCTTCTTGTAAATGTTGAACCTCTTCAAGAGTGAAAAATGTTTATTCTTACTAATATCATTTTTTTAACTGTACTTTTAGAAAATAAGCATTAACTAGTTTATTTACTTATTTCTTCCAAGATTGCAAAGCAGAGTTCAGAATGGTAGACTATATTGAAACAATGAATGTTTACATTATTCTGAAAGTTTCACAAATTTTAGAACTCAGGATAAGATTT